GAATATAACCTCATATTGTCTAATCCAGTAGAGAGAAAAAAATAAAACAAAATACTTAGTTATCACGGTATTTATTTGCACAAAAAAAAAACATGTATTACAGCCATTGCTCAAAACGTCCTCCATCATGTTGCAGACATACTGTTGCTCTTACAGATACATGTTGCGTAGAGCGCCTTATCATTGAGGGAAGACCATAGTAATTATAGACCTATATCAATATTACCGACGTTAAGTAAAATCTTTGAAAAAATAATTCTTGAACAGTTATTGTCTTATTTTAATTTAAATAAATTACTGCATACTAAACAATATGGTTTCACAAAAGGTCGCTCTACTGCTGATGCTGGTATAGCACTTCTTAAACATATATTCAGAGCTTGGGAGGCGTCACAGAATGCTCTTGAAGTATTTTGTGACTTATCCAAAGCATTTGATTGCGTTGAGCATCGAACACTAGTAACGAAGCTAAATTACTATGGTATCAAAGATACAACTAATATTGTCGTACCTCAGTTGCAGAACTCAAACTATCGATATTAACGGTGTGAGATCATCTGGATCACAAGTAAAAATGGGAGTTCCCCAGGGATCTATTCTGGGTCCCTTTCTGTTTCTAACTTACATAAATGATTTGCCATTTTTTGCCGAAACTTTATGCGATATAGTATTGTTTGCAGACGATACTTCTTTAATACTTAATATTGATAGATGTAAAAATAATTTTGACGATGTAAACAATGCTCTATCACAGATTATGACCTGGTTTACTGTAAATAATCTCCAGTTAAATGTTAAAAAAACGAAATGTATAAAGTTTATGTTACCTAATGTAAAAGCTGAACTTACAGAAATTAAACTTAATAATGAAAAGCTCGAGTTGGTTGATTCAACAATCTTCTTAGGTGTAACGCTGGATTCTAAATTGCAATGGCATCCTCACATTTCATTATTGGCAGGAAAACTAAGTTCAGCTGCCTTTGCAATAAAAAAAATTAGGCAACTTACAGATGTAGATACCGCTAGGACAGTATACTTTAGTTATTTCCATAGCGTTATGTCATATGGCATTCTGATATGGGGTATGGCTGCAGATATAGAGTCTATATTTATTTTACAAAAAAGAGCAATAAGGGCCATTTATCAATTGGGTTCAAGAACGTCACTTAGAGATAAATTCAAAGAAATTGGGATATTAACAGTGGCCTCCCAATTCATATACAATTGTATACTCTATGTTAGAAACAATATTAACAATTATATTAAACATAGTCATGTACACAATTATAATACTAGAAACAAAGATAAACTTGTTTTGCCGTCATGCAGGCTAAAGAAGGTTCTATCGTCATTTATGGGTCAAGGTGTACACTACTATAACAAAATTCCTATGGAAATTTTAAATTTACCATTACCTAAGTTTAAAACCCATATTAAGAAATGTCTACTCAGTAAAGGATATTATACTATTAATGAATATTTAAACGACAAAACTACTTGGAGTTAAATATGGCTCATTTTTCATATATATTAAATTGTTAATCGGTGAGCTTCTTTGGCTACAAATGTGATTGGATTGACGAAAATACTGTTTTACTCTTAATATTGTGTAATTTGTAATGGAAAGTGACTTCAAATTTTAATGAAGTCATTTTTCAATCTTGACGCTCTGTATGAAATAAAACAGGGAGAAAAAAGCAGCCCTTGCCGAGTTTCTTGCCGGTTCTTCTCGGTACAAGGTCTCCCGCCGTAGATTTACGAACCGTTGGCGTAGCTCTCGACTTTCACAAGTGCTTGTAACAGCCTAGACTGAATAAATGATTTTGGTTCATTTCCGACTTGAATTATTTTTCTAATAAGGTCCTCGCGTGTATTTGGCACGTCAACATAAACTTTTTGCTTCATTGTACCCCACAAGAAAAAATCTAGTGGGGTCAAGTCAGGTGAACAGGGTGGCCAAGCGATTGTTCCACCGCGTCCAATCCACATCGGGTAATTTTCATTTAAATGGCTTCGTACATTCGTAGCGAAGTGTGCCGGAGCTCCATCCAATTGTAAAGTCATCCTTCTCCTATAGGCCAGTGGTATTTCTATCAATGCGTCCAGGAAGTCAGTTTCCAAGAACTGGAGAAATCTAAGGCCATTCATCACGGCTGGCAAAATGAGTGGGCCAATCAAAATATTGCCGATCATTCCTGCCCACACATTTACCGAGAATTGGTGTTGGAACGTGCTTTCTCTCACAGCATAAGGATTTTCATGAAGCCAAAGATGTTCATTGCGATGGTTTACATATCCCGATCGTGTGAAAGTAGCCTCATCGGTCCACAATATTTTTTTCAAAAAATTTGGCTCCGATCTCGTCATTCTGAGTATCCATGAGCAAAAAACGGCCCTTCCTCCGTAATCTGGTTCAATTATCTCTTGCACCCGTTTAAAATGGTACGGGTGCAATCCTTCCCTTTTAAAGACTCGCCACACTGTCCATTTAGATAAACCGAGTCTAATTGCAATACGTCTGACACTTAGTTTAGGATCTTCTGTGATCAATCGCAATATCTCTTCTTCCTCACTCGGTGATATTATACGAAAACGTTCGTTGGCGGGTTGCCTTATTCTATTTTCAGCAAGGCGCAAATGAATTCTTATGAATGTGCGAGCGTTTGGTGTTGGTCTATTTGGGAATCTTCTCGCATACTCTCTAACAGCTCTGTTAGCATTCCCATCGCACAATTCATAGACGTAATGGATGTCGGCAACGTCGTGGTTTGAATAATGGCCATTTTCCATTGCAGTTAACTTTCGTTAGCTAAAGTAACACAACTTAGTCCAATAACAAAACAAAAAGTTCAACAACAATAACAAAAGTCTAGCAACAATAACAAAAAAGTAACGAACAGTTTAACGATAACAAGCACAGTATGGCACAAGAGAATGTAATCGCAACGCAAAGCGAGGGACGACTGACTGATTGCGTTTGCGTTGCGGTCTCAAGGCCCCCAAATCATTTTTTACCTGGCAGTTCTATGAACGGCATTCCAAGACGGGATTGTCAAAAGACCCGTTCCTTGGAATTTCTCGAATTCCTTATCTATTGTAAATATGCGGTTTTAAGGATTTATTCAAACCGTCATAGCTTGTAAACTACTTTATTTAGAGCCAAGATGTAAGCTGTTTTATTTAGGGAACATAATTCTCTATCATTTAGAAATAAAAAAAAAAGTAGGTCAACAGCTTTGATTCTATGAAAAAGCTAATATTGTTAAAAAAAACGCAAAATAATACATAATTATAATCGTTTAATAATTTTTTCTCGATTTTTTATAATAAAGTTTGGACAGTATTTTGCATTACTTTATTGTCTACATGTTTGGCTATCGAATGAGACCTATTTTGTGTTTCTAGGACCTTTACATAGGTAGCTATAGCTAAATTAGTCTAATACTACATCTACAATATTAAAAAAAACAAAATGGCTGCCATTTTATTATGGTTGAAGTAAAGCTACTTATAGGGCTTGATTTATCGATAAAACATACTGCATTTCAACCCCCTAACGGCTCCGACACCGTTGACCAGACAGATTGTATAATTTACTTAAGATCATCTACTATACAACTCGACGAGACGTGCGTCCGTAACACCCCCCATTCGTTCTCACCCATTTTGCTTACTTTTTCTCTTACTTTATTTGTCATAATTACTTTATTTCGTCGTCGTCATTACTTTATTTGTATTCCATGTTACGTTTTTTTTTGCAACATATTGTTTCACTGCGGCCCATGCCATCTCTATAGGATTTAAATCCGGGTGGTAAGGAGGCAGCCTCAAAATGCAATGGTTTTTTTCTTTTAGAATGTTGTCTATGCAAATTTTTTTATACTTGTCCTTATTTTAAACAATCAACTTGTGAAGTTGCGGCTTCAGCATGCTATTTTCAAATGGTATATTTTTATCAAGTAGCCACCTTTGCATGTCAGCTTTATTTTAATTTGACGATGGTGCTTTGTCTTCCTGTTTATTGTGATAGGAAGCGTTATCTTCCACGACAACAGAGTTTGCTGGCAAATTTGGTATTAATTGATTTATTACCCATTTTTTATAATTTTCGTGATTCATGTTGTCGTGCTAGTCGCCTGTTTTTGCACCAGCCTTAAACATTAGTAAAGCATTGGGCACAAAACCGGCTTCGGAACCCGCGTGCACAATGACTACTCTTTGTCCTTTCGAAATTCTGGTTTTTAGTCCCATCTTACCCATCACTCCATCACTCCACGACTTTGAAGTATTATGGGACGAATCAACATATCGCACATTGACACCTCACAAAACAATGACTTTAGAAGATATACATGAGATAAATAGCTTATATTACAATGACAACTTTTATCTTTACTTTTGGATAAATAATGATCACTTGAATGTTGTAAAAAAAATACTATATCATTATTTTAACCTTTTAACCCCCTCAGAAGTGACGTTGTGGCTCTAACAAAAAAATATAACTATAGTTATGTCACACTTAGTTAAAAAGAAAACAGGAAAAAATTATTTACTAAGTTTTATTTTAAATCAAAAATAATGTACTGTTATTAACAAAAAAAAAACAAAATTCTAAAAAAAAACATAAGAAACTTTGTACTTCTTAATATTAATATTTCTACATAAATGTAGTACAAAAAGAATAAAACAAAGTCAAGAAATATCTGTTTTTATCTTAGAGTCGGTGAGAACTTAAGTTAATATTTACTTATAATTAAAATTAAAAGTAACTTTGGGCTCAATACTATTGCTTCTAGATCTAATTACTAGAATTGTAAGTTTAATCAGACTTGTGATATCACAGCGAGTTAATTACCTATATTTTTAATAATTATTTTAGCATAGTATTAGGAATCCCTTACTAAATTATTCAAAACAATTAACAACAATTATACATAAATTTGTTACATAATAAAATATTAAATTCGTTTTCAACACGTATTACAAGTTTAATAAAATTAAATGAGATCTCTATAGAACTTTTCATAGTATCTTGGCACTATGTTTGTGTCTACCAAACTCAAAAGGTCGCGCTTCTTGCGTTCTGTAATAGCAATCTTCGAGGTATACGCTGGTTTCAAAGCGACCTCATTAATACTTGTAACATTGCCTCGACCTCGACGTAAGTTATTTCTATTAGATTCTATCATAGCTATGGCCTCTTCCCAGTTTTCGGTCTTGTAGGTTGTTCGATATTGATAATTGGCGCAATTTTTAATAAACTTAATACTCATAATCTCGCTAATTTTAATTGCATCCCCGTTAATATTTTTAGTCATGTTAAAGTTTATGTTATCTGCCAAAGCCTTAAGATCGACGAATTCACTGTAGTTCATTTCTTTAACCAAAAATGGTTTCCCTGTCTTCTTTGCTCCTTGTATTATGGATATATATTGTTCAGGAATATAAATGGGCCCAGATTTTTTGGCTCTAGTGATGACTTTTTCGATTACAGAATGTGCTGTGTCGCCTTCGTTTTGTGTATGCCCACGTACCAAGAAGTTGTGTCGTATGTATAGAATTTATGTTTAATTTAGTTACTGCGAAATAGTACATTGCAAATACGAATCGGTTTTTTTGCTGACCGCAGCAATTATCTGAGTAAAAAATTACGTCACAGCCAGGATACTTATTAGCAACTTCTAACAAATATAAGTACACACAAGATCCAATTTCTATAGATCCCCTGTTGCCTAATCCTTCATGCCAAAAATAGCATGTAGTTTCTCGATATTTTGGATTGGAAATAGTAAAATTGTAGCAATTTAGTCTAGATTTATAAAAAAAAGCTGATGAATTTCCTAAAGGGTATGGCAAAACAGCTTGTAAGTCGTAGGTACATACAATCTTTGTGCTTTGAGGATCTTGACATTCTTTCATGTCTCTATCTTTTTCGATCCTACTCAAGCTCTTTTCTTCTTGGTGAATCTTGTAGCTGGCATATAATTTTACTTTTTCTTGTTCCGGTGCATTTTTGTATGCAACGCATTGGTCACAAAGATCTTTCTTCGGCCTAAAAAAGCCAATGTTAAAATCATGATTAAAAATGCGTTGATAGGCGTCGTAATTAACAGCTGGCTTATTATTTTGTTTCTGTACTTCCTTATAGTTTCTGTGCAATTCTGCAATAGTCAAGCCACCGTCAATAAAAAGCCTACTTGTGTTTGCCCTCAAATAGTGGCTTTCCACTTTAGGAATAGATTCAATGTGGTCTTTGACGGCTTTTATCATATCATTGTCCAATTTGCAATGCTTCCCGTGTTTGCCTCGGTGGTCTTCGGGAATGATACCGTCATTGAGTTTTGAAGCATCAATGACAGTTCGTATAGTTCTTGGCGAAATACCCAAGGTGTTAATTAAAAATGTTTTGCAAACCCTGATTGACTGACTATCATTGAGTAAATAAAATGCAGAGCTCCCTTGTCTCGGGTACCGACGATTTGTTTTAATACGCCGGCTTGCAATTTCCAGTGGTCTGATGCAGGAATTCAAAAAATCACGGTGTCTTTCTATGCTGCCTAGCTCCCAATAAGATTTGAATATTTGAATTCTTTTTTCTTGGGTAAAATGAGATGAGCAAGCCAGCCGACACTTACCTGAACAAGAGGGACCAATTTTTCTAGCCTGAACTGTTTTTCCTGTTTTAATTGATCCGATATTCATTACCGGAATTCCTTAATTTCTTTGCTATATTTTTTTTCCAGCTATTAGGATTACGAGTACGTTTTCTTCCCCTTGTTTTTGGTGATGATGTTGATTCTTGATCATCAACAGCCTCATTCTCAGAGCTACTATCACTAGATGAACTACTCGAACTGGAAGAATTTGAGGATGAAGACGAACTAGATGGGGGCTTGAAATCATCACCTGAATCAGTACCAGTTGTACATCCAGTTTGGTTTTCTGTTGAATTTTCGTCGTCGATAACAGTATTACTATGTGGGGAGGTAAGATTTGGTAAAACAGAGTTACTGCCGTTTTGGTTGATATCAGATGGTGGAACTGAAAATTCGACGGCTTCATTTCTTTCAATGGGCGATGTTGGACGTGTCAGTAATACCAGTTTTTTTCCCCGAGACAGCATTTTATTTCATTTAAAAAACAACTGAAAATAAGAAAAAGGATCAAAATAAAAAAAAACGTTTGTACAATCACCACTGTTCGTTAGTCCAAAACTAATTCGAGCTTTAATAAAAAATATCCGACACTATTACAACCAATATATTTAAAGTCAAATTATAAGCAATATGACCTAGTAGGCACAATGGCTCACCTAATACAAAGAAAAACCTTAACCCAAAGGTTTTGGTTCCAAGAAGATCGGACCAATAACACCAAACTTATAAGGCTTCAAATTTAACACCAAATAACCTAAAATAACCTAAAAACCACGCGGTCACCACGTGCTGCCATCGAAACATAGTGGCAGTGACGTTTTCCCACCGACGCCTTAGGGCGCCTAGCCGCGTCAGGGTGCTCCAACAACATAAATACAACCACACCAACCAACGCTGAAGACTCCCAGCCAGGATCGACGGCATCTAAGCGACCTACGTCACTCCGGCCAAGTGCGAGCGGACGGGTGAATAAATCAATTATTATTTTATCTCCATTACACCTAGAGGTCGCAGCTGTCGAGCCAAGGTACAACCACCAACACAACATCAAGGCCATAACATCAGGTCACGGTGGAACACTCTCTACCATATCATCAGGTCTAGGTGGAATACTCTCCGGGCCAGGGTTGAGAGTACTCCTGTCCAATCAACAACAGAAGGACGGGACTTCCACGGAGGGTAACAGAAGAGCAGTACCTTCACAACATCAAGGCCATAACATCAGGTCACGGTGGAACATTCTCTACCATATCATCAGGTCTAGGTGGAATACTCTCCGGGCCAGGGTCGAGAGAGTACTCCTGTCCAATTAACAACAGAGGGACGGGACTTCCACGGAGGGTAACAGAAGAGCAGTACCTTCCCAACAAAACCACCCCTACCATACAACAACTGTCCCCCCTTACCATCCCCCCGTCCCCCCCCCCTCCCCCCTTACCGAACTGATTCCAACAAAATCGACATCGGTGGGGGTCATCCCCCCTTCTCAAAGGCGCGAGCAGCGCCTACCTTACCTCCCAAACCCATCCCCCCCGGCCGGTATCAGACCCACAAACCCCCTTGACACCCCCTGACCCCTTTGACCCCCTTGACCCCCTGACCCTCCCCCTTGTCCCCCTGACACCCTTGACCCCCCTTGACACTTTGACCCCGCCCTTCACCCCCTGACCGCCCTTGACCCCCTTGACCCCCTTGACCCCCTTACCCCTCTCGACCCCCCCCTCGACCCCTTTACCCCTCTTGATCTCCTCTCGACCCCCTTACCCCTCTTGACCCCCAAACCCCTGGACCCCCGCGAATCCTAAACCCCTGGACCCCCCCTAAATAAACACCAAAACGTTAACCCACCATCAAGAAAAACACCAGGGACGCTAACTGGAACAAACAAGAGGTCACAACATCGGCCTTCAGCACGCGAGGCAGTGCTCCACCATCACGAACATCAACAATAATTAATAAAAACACTCGAAGTCAGTAAAACAGACCTCAACTACAAGTGTAATCCATCCCCAAACAACAAAAAAAAAAAAAAAAAAAACAACACTATCTCATGATTGCACAAATAACTGTAAACAACTGAGTGCAAATACTTGTCAAGTAATAGTATAAGTAGCAAGTAAGTAATTATAAGTAGTAAGTAAGTAATTATAAAAATTAACTAACAAACAAAAGTAGAATAAGTAGTAAGTAAGTAAATCACAATATCAACACACACATTAATATGTCAAACAGCAGTACATGCTCGGATGTTAGCAGGAGGGCGAGGTCGGCAGCTGAACAATCCCACAAAAAACCAACACTAAAATCAAACACCACAGCGTTGCGTACAAAAGTACTAAAAAGGGCCACAAGTGTAACATCAATGCACTCCGAGGATCAACAATTACTACCATCAACCCCTATGCCCAGGGCGGAGCAGTCACAAAATCCGGAAGGCATTATGCCCGACCCCCCTCCCAATAAATACTAACACACACAAAACAAAACTTACACTCTCCCGCGATTGCGTCTCAGAGTCGGGAATCCCAGAGGACGAAGCAGTAACTACCTTCCAAATATGGGATAAGCATCCACCTCCGGACTTCACCATCTCGGACGACGACTTCTCTTCTGGCATAACAACAGACCCAGAGGACCTGGAAATACAACCACCCAGACGAAAGAGCATGCTCGTCGGCGGCACATCCAGGAGGTCAGGCGTGGAGATGGACATGGCCACCAAGACAGCCAACGAGGAGCTGCAAAAAGCCAAAATAGCCCTCGAGACCGCAGGGAATATGAAGAGGGAGTGCAAAACCATCGCACTAGAAAAGCCTACAAAGCCTTTATGAAATAGTGCTTTCCCTCTCTGACTCCAGGTCCAGGCACAAATACAACTTGGAGGCGGAAAAGGCTCGACACGCAAAAGAACTGGTAAGAGTCGAGCGGGCCCACACAAAAACACTCCAAGAAATACTACGCACAACAACAACACAAACTCAACAAATACAAAATAACATCACAAAAGTTCAGGACGATACAAGTGCTATCAGAAAATGGCTGGGATATGAGACAAAACAGCCCTACGACACCATCAACAAAATAGAGGCCATGGTAAGGAAGCTGGACCATGGCCGAATTAACATCAGCACAAAAAAACATCGATATCGTCAAGTCACACAAAACACCAGAAGGTTCGACAGAAGTCCTCAACAAAATCCACGAGGAAACAAAAAAACTGTCGAACCAACTTGACGAATTAAGAAGGGGGATTTCTGAAGCTCGAGCAGAAAACCACCAACAAGCTCGGGCTGAAAACACCTTAACAACAGAAACCCTCCAAAATATTGTCCAATCCAAAACAGAGGAGACCAAAAACCACATTACAAATAAATTTGAACAAGAGTGTAAAACCATCAGGGATAACATTAAACACTCAATAACAACCATCGCACCTCCCACCACTCCACCAGGACAGGGAGAGGCTCTGCTCGCGGAAAAGCTCCAGCCGCTGGTGGAAAAAATGGAGTCCATGAGTTCGGAACTGAGAACAATCCGAACTCAGAAGGACAGAACACCATCACCAGTGAAAACTCTACAACAAGAACTGGAGCAAACCGCCATAAACACCACACAACAGGTCGGTCCTTTAACATATGCGGCAGAAACGCGCGGGCCCCATTCCCAAAACAACCACCCACAGCCCCAAAGACCCTATCAACCACCCCGCCCAACACCAAACTTTACTCTAATAGTATCATCCTCAAACCCCAACAACACCGGGGAAACCATCCTGGAAGAAATTAGAGAGGTGCTGGATACAAAGAACACCGGCGCCAGGGTGGATAGGGCAAAAAAAGCTAAAAACCAAAAGATCATAATAAAATGCCGTACAAAAGAGGACCTCAACTTAGTACAACAGAGAGTTCAAACAAATAAAACACAAATCCCAAAAACAAACGACCCCTTGGTGGTAATAAAAGACGTCCTGGCGTACCACAAGGATGAGGATATCACTAAAACCCTAATATCTCAAAATAAACATATCTTCGAGGACCTAGGAGTGGATAGCACAGCTCTACGGGTTAAGTACAGGAGAAAGGCAAGAAACCCCCTAGAGTGCCACCCAGTCCTCGAAGTACCCCCTGAGGTACATAAAAAACTCATCGAGGCCGAATACGTATACATCGGCTTCCAAAAAAGACCGGTCCAGGACCAATCTCCTCTAATCCAATGCTCAAAGTGCCTAGGCTACGGACACACCAAATCAATATGTACAAAAACCCAACAATACTGCAGCTACTGTGGCGGAAGTCACAAGTGGGAAACCTGCAGCATAAGAAAAGAAAACAAAACACCAACATGTATAAACTGCGTAGTACAAAAACAACCGGACACACAACATACGGCCCACAGCATGGAATGCAAGGAGAGAGCGAAGTGGGACGCCATAGCTCGCTCCAAGATTTCCTATTGCTGAGGGCCCCCCACACAACATTTCCAACACAACGAACACAAATACCCCGTCCAAAAATAGTATAAGTATCATCCAAGCCAACCTACAGAGATCGAAACTAAACACCCTCGATCTCATAAGGGAAGCTAAAACCAAAAAAGCCTCAATAGCTCTGGTCCAGGAACCCTACACAGGAAATACGGGCTCTCTAAAACAACACCCAGGGACAAGAGTTATCCAATGTTCCCAAAACAGAACAGGACCAGTAAAGGCAGCGGTCATCGTCTTCGAGGAGGATCTGGAGATTATACAAGATCCACTCCTGACCACGGAGACGGAGGCAGCAGTATTACTGGTAAACAGAGGAATGAGGCTAGGCATAATATCCATATACTTGGACGGGGATAAAGACATACATCCATACCTTAACCGCTTGCACGAGGCCTGCAATAAACTAAATACCCCGGACCTCATAGTGGCTGGAGACACAAACGCGTGGAGCCACTGGTGGGGGAGCATCAGGGAGGACGACAGAGGCCGCCAGTACAACATGTTTCTCGGCGCTCAAGGATTGGAGGTCTTAAACAGAGGGGAAACACCCACCTTCCAAACAATCAGGAATGGGAGGGAATACACAAGCCACATAGACGTGACGGCTTGTAGTCAATCTTTACTAAATCGAGTGGAGTCCTGGAGAGTAGATACAGGTCTCACAACATCGGACCATAACGCCATCTGCTTTAGCCTGCGCCTAGGAGAAGGATTGAAACCCCTTCCAGTAATCACCACGCGCAAATACAACACCAAAAAGGCTGACTGGCCGGCGTTTAAAACAAAACTCAGGATAACACTCGAGGAAGAGAACATCACCCCCCAAAACATACAACATATAAATGACACCAAGGAGCTGGAGAGGACAATAAATAGTTACATAACAACAATAAACACCGCATGCTCCGATACTATCCCTATCCACGGGCAGAGGAAATCTCCAACAAATCCCCCATGGTGGAACTTAGACCTCCAAAACCAAAAAAAACAAGTAAACAGGCTAAAAAGGCGCATAAGAAACGCTGCGCCCTCACGCAAGCAACGGGTTATTGAGGAGTACTTAACACATAAACACACATATACGCAAATGGCAGAATCGGCACAAACCAAACATTGGAAGGAGTTCTGCACGACTCAAGAAAAAGAAAGTATGTGGGACAAAATCTACCGAGTGATCAAAAAGTCAGGAGGTAGACAGGACGAACATACTTCTCACGGATACTAACGGCAAAACACTCACGCCGGAACAGTCGGCAGAACTTTTAGCCCAAACCTTCTTCCCAGCCGATTCTGAACACACAGACACACAATACCACAAAGACATTAGACAGTCCACAAAACACCCAACACATCACCCCCTGGCTGAGGATGACCCGCCTTTCACCAGGCAGGAACTGGAGGCGGTACTAAAAATACAAAATCCCAAAAAAGCCCCAGGACCTGATGGGCTAACGGCGGACATCTGCGTGGGCAGCATAAATTGCAACGTGGAGGTGTTCCCTAGCAATAGTAAACAAATGTCTAGAATTAAAACACTTTCCCTCCCAATGGAAGGAGGCCCACGTAGTCGTCCTCCGTAAACCAGCCAAGGAGGACTACACAAGACCTAAATCTTACAGACCAATTGGCTTGCTATCAATACTCGGCAAAATTCTGGAGAGGCTCATGGTTGCGAGAATACAATGGCACACACTCAAAACACAAAACAAGAGGCAATACGGCTTCACTCCACAAAAAGGCACGGAGGATGCCCTCTATGATCTTCTCAAACACATCAGAGAAGAAATATCCGGTAGAAAACTGGTCACAGTAATATCGCTGGATCATAGAGGGAGCCTTCGACAATGCTTGGTGGCCAGCTATAAAATCCCAGCTTATAGCCAAAAAATGCCCCAAAAAACATCTACATGCTGGTGGACTCATACCTAACAAATAGGAAGGTCACAGTGAACTATGCAGGGAGATCCAGCGAAAGGTGTACAACGAAGGGCTGCGTCCAAGGTTCCATAGGAGGCCCCACGTTCTGAAATATACTTCTGGATCCCTTGCTGGACTCACTGGAGGAAATGGGAGTGTTTTGCCAGGCTTTCGCGGATGACGTAGTCATGGTCTTCTCCGGGAAGAATGCCGAAGAAATAAACCTAAAAGCAAATGTGGCTCTCGGCGAGGTGGTCGGCTGGGGAGGGGAGAAACAAGCTCAACTTCGCGCCGCATAAAACAAGTGCGATGATACTTACACGGAAAATAAAATACGACAAACCACAATTAATAATGTCGGGGTCGCCAATTGAGTACGTGAAGCAAATAAAACTATTAGGCCTCATCATAGACGATCGCCTCACCTTTAAAGAACACGTGGCAGCGGCGTGCAAAAAAGCAACCGCCATTTACAAACAGCTATCGTGCGCGGCAAGGGTGTCATGGGGTCTAAATGGTGACATCATCCGCACTATTTACGTGGCAGTGGTTGAGCCAATAGTGCTGTATGCGGCATGTGCGTGGGCACCCATGCTACAACTAGAGACAAATAGGAAGCCACTAGAGTCTCTCCAAAGGGTGTTCGCTATCAAAATATGCAAAGCATACCGCACCACCTCCCTCTCTTCGGCACTAATATTATCAGGGCTGCTACCACTGGACCTCAGGGTGCATGAGGTGGCGGCCCTCTATGAAGCAAAAAAAAAACAAACAAACACATACCTGCCACCGGGAGGAGTCCTGGAGCAGAACATCAATATATTTAATACCCTTCATCCCTCACAGAATATAAACCTAAACTATACACTACTCTGCGACGCCAAGGACTTAGAGGGACACCACCCTGGCGGCCCCTTGCATCTATACGGACGGAAGTAAGATAGAAGGCAGGACAAGGGCTGCGGTCACCTGGTGGGAAAAAGGAGCGGAGGTACAAAACGAACTCCTAGCTCTAGACCCGAGGTGCACGGTGTTCCAGTCCGAACTCTTTGCCATTCATAAAGCGGTCCAAATGGTGAAACGCAGCAATGAGAAAGTCGTAAACATCCTAAGCGACTCGCGTTCATCACTGGAACTGCTATCAAACCCTAAAATACTCCACCCACAAGCTAAATCAATAAAAGAAAACATCAAATCAATCAGAGAGGAAGGCAGGGCAGTTAACCTCTTCTGGCTGAGGGCACACATTGGAACAGCTGGTAACGAAAGGGCCGATGAACTGGCGAAAACAGCAGCCCAAAACACCTCCCCTCCGCAATACAGTAGCCTACCATTATCCTATGTGAGGAAAACCATCAGGGAGGAGTCCATCAAAAAATGGCAAGACAGGTACGACGCTGCCACTACTGGGAGAGTCACAAAAACATTCTTACCTGATGTCATCAAAGCTTATCGGCTTGTGAGGGCGGAAGGAGTGACTCCAACACAAACACAAATTCTCACGGGACATGGCGGGAACGGCGGAATATCTTCATAGATTTGGCTTGAAAGGGAGTCCGGGGTGCGAGTGCGATGAGGACGTCGTGGAGGATATAATTCACATACTTACAGACTGTCCAAGGTTCCAAGCGGCGAGGATCGACGTGGAGGCGGCAATAAACAGGACACTGGTCATAGGCGAATTAGTTCGCGACTATGTCCGAAAACGTGGCGTTATTAAGGGCAGACTTACTAAATTTTCTACCTATATACTTTCACTAGAAGAGAATGAACTCCTTTTTTCCTCTTCGCGAAGCCGTATAGATTTAAAATTACGCATTAAAGGAGCCGCTAGTTTATATGCTGAGTTCAACGAAGTTCAAAGTAAAATCGAAGAGAACGTTTCCGAAAGTGATATCGTTGAACAGTTAAACGGCAGGGAATTATTTGAAAATTCCTATTATAGTACAATGGCGCGCGCAGAATACCTTTTGAATAGTTTTGAGGTTAGTGACGGTTCTAGTGATCAAGGCTGCTGCAGCGATCAATCACAGTCGATTAAACTGCCCACTATTTCACTGCCTACCTTTGACGGTTCATATGAGCACTGGCTCGAGTTCCGCGACACGTTTTTATCTTTAGTACATAATTCTAAACGTATCAGTAATATTCAAAAATATCATTACCTAAAGTCATCATTAAAAGGCAATGCTGAACTGGTCGTTAACTCTGTCGAATTCTCTTCAAATAATTATCACGTAGCCTGGGAGTTATTATTGAATAGATACGATAATAATAGACTTTTAGTGCACAATCACGTAAAGGCGTTATTTTCAATAAATCCGTTGTCCAAAGAGTCCCCAGCGTACATTAGAAAACTAATAGACACTATTTTGAGAAATTTACGTGCATTAAAAATGCTAGGCGAGCCTACCGAGTCCTGGGACACTCTTATCAATTATATTATAGTGTCAAAATTAGATAAGACGACTGAACGCGAATGGGAGACTTTTAAGTGTTCGTTGTTATTGGGCGAGAACAATTCTAAACGCATTATTAAGGTGGATGAG